AGCTACAATATAAAATTTTGTTAGAAGAATTTTTAAATCTTGAATTACAACAATGTTATAATTTCACTTGAATATTATAATAGTTTCGCAAGAAGTGCAATATGATTATTTAGATGATAACAATATCATCTTCCGACATTGAAAAAACATCACATACTCAATCCAGTATGTTGTGCTTTCCATTCATAAAAATTATTCTTGAATAATAAAAATTTTTTCTTTGTTAAATCACATATAAAACGCATTGATTACTTATCTTCATTTAATGCCACGTAAACTTATTTTAAAATTTGCATGTTAGGAATAAAAGTGTTTTCAAAACAATAGAGTGTTCTTTTCTTCTACATATTTGCGCTCAAGGAAAAGTTGTACGACTTGCGCTTGGGACGAGATGGAATTTTTTCTCAACGGCTCATTCATAATAAAAGACAATATCGTGACGCAATATCGAGAAACAATTGCTCATAGAGCACAATTTATTTCCAAGAGTTGTAGAACGCGAATAAAAGATAGAAAGATAAGAATCTGTTTATTTCTCTCGTAGTTTGCACCGTCAGCGTTATGCATATTTGTTTTTTTATCAACGCTCCTACTTATTTATACCGTTTATGCTAATCAAAACGTCAAAGCGTTTTTCTTCTATTTCTCTTGTTTCTGACTGATGCAATCTATATCAAAGTATGCTGTAAGAACGGTAAGTGAAGAAGTAGGTCGTCGTAAAACGGACGACCAGTTGTGGATCCGCCGAATGAACGAAAGAACGAATTTGTAGCCACGCATTCAATCTTCCTTCTCTTATTTTCCCATCTAGTTTCATGTAATAGAATCGACGCCCACGAATACCTTCGCCACTATTCTCGAGAAATAAGCTAGTCTTTGCTCAGGGAGCGATCACGAACCGCGATTGAATGAAACTGACACGTGATGGGCGTTTGTCGAGCGTTATATTTAAACCTATTTCGGATATGAACGCGGTGTCAATTTTCCAAATGGATGTTCTTGTGAAACGAAGAATCTAACTTATACATAGAGAAAAAAGATTGATTGAATTAACGTGACAATGATACAACTAAATGCGTTTTGGTCGAAGCACACAGCATTCCTAGTTCTTATGAACCAAATTCGGTTCTTAAGAACCAGAAAATCTGTTTCATTTAACCAAAACGCATTTACCCGCACAGAGATTTCTCAAGATTTTCCCAGATACTGCATAGAAGCCGATTAAAATTACTAAATTAGTCTCAAATTCAGTTATCCCACTTATGATACGTAGAGAGAATTTATAGTAAAAATTACTACGGAATTTTATGACTATAGAATAGATCAATATTGTATAATAATTGACTATCCTTTTATTTCATATGTGTTGTTTATATTTTAGGAACAAAAATGTGCTATTAAAGAATTTGTTACGTCACTAAAAAAAAATGATTTTGCAGTCATAGCGAAAATTATCTAGATACGAGAAACTAAGACGGATAAATGACTAACAAACACTGCGATATGTGTTTTGTATTGAATCAATATAGATAACAGTCATAGAATTTGTATTTCAACTATTTGTGAAATTTAGAAAGTTTTATATCAGAGGTTCTAAACTCTCCCTGTGGCACCCAGATTATAGATTCAAATTATAAGGGGATACCACATACTTCGAAACTTTACCGACAAAATATTGACTTTTTTTTGCAAAGTTTACGTCGTATTGATTGCGCAAAATTAATTGTACTGTTTAATCAAATTCTGAGTCTGAGCTGTGTATTATGACAGTTACCAATTATATCATTGTCATCAGAATAGTCTAATGTGTTTTCATCGCAATAAAATTCTGTGATATTAACATATGTCCCATTTGTCTTCTGTTCACTTTCATTCGTAACCTTAGTTGCCATCTCTGTCACGTTAAAATATTGTCAAATATCTTATTTCCTCAAATTTTCCTTTTCTTACTCTATATTTCTTTATACGTTCACTCATTGTTCACGCATTTTAATCCCGTTTTTCTAACAACATAAATAAATATGTTCTATGTTTATTCACGATAGACATCATAATGATAGACATGTACATTATAAAACTGTATTAATCCTTTGAAAACGAATTTTCAGGATGTGTTATCTGTAACTTTTATAGTTTTTAATAATCAATACAAGTCTAAATAAAAAGCTTGGCTACGTATTTTGATATACAAATGGATAGGGATTGTAAAAGGATGCTGGTATTATATTTATCAGTCTTAAAGTGTGATAAATAAATGAACCAATAGTCTTGTCTTGCAAAATAATTTATTTCTTATCAACATTATATTGAAACAAAGGGGTAATAAGTGATATTTAGAAAAACAATTTTTGCAAAGAGGCAAAAATTTTTGCAAAAAATCTTCAAACAATAGTTATGTTAGTAAAATCTTAGGAAAATATAACCGCAATATTACAAAAAATATACGTTTTTTAGATTACAGAGTCAAAAAACTGATATACACACTTATAGTATACTAACTAAATAGTCAAAACATAATCTGAAATGCAAATTCGGCTGTCGTATTTTGCACACGTGTAGAAGACTGCGTGGTATATCCTCGTATCATTTTATATTTAAAAATAAATTTTCAGTCTTTGAGAAATTAGTGCTGGTACATATATATACCAGAAGGCTTCAAAAGGTTAATATTATTGGTACTTGAAAAGAATCGGTTCACACATTATACAGTAAACTGCTTCCACTGAATCTGAATCCAGTTCTTGTCTATTTCCTACGCAGTATTTCTGCAGCTAATGAGAATGCACTATTGCTAGACAATAACTGAGTGGGTGTCTATACAAATTACATACACTTCCACCAGGAGTGTTAACCGGTTGCAGTTCCGAGGTCGCGATTAATGAGTTCGCCAGAAGCGCGACAAGAAGAAGAACGGCGATTTAAATGGTCGCGTCGTGATGTGCATGTGAATCAAGGCTCGCCTACGCATTATTTATATTCCCGTGCAACGCCATTTCCTCGCTTTTTCCACATGAATCACGCGTTGACATCATATAGTGCTTATCGGACGAGCAGCGAACTGTGGAATTTTCTGCTCTGCCTATCGCGATGCAAATGCACAGTTATCCTCACGCGCACGCTGTCTATCGACGACAATTATCAGCTGCGTCACTTCATACTCGGCCTGGTAACTTTGGACTTTCCTATTTATTATCGTAACTCGCGCAGCGATTGCAGCTATGTATGTCGCTCGACGGAATATCGAGCTCGCCTTCGCAACAGCCGTCTCCCCTAATCAATTCACGATACGCCGCATCTTCCACTGCATCATATTCGATTGCGGCATCGTGTTGCGATTCTTGATATCGCAATACTTATTTCAGCGAACAAAGTTTCAACGAACAAAAAATCAATCAACAACTCGTCAATAAATCGCGACTCGTATTACGATGTTCCGGCACGACGAGTTGCAATTTGCACGTGGAAATGCGCGAAGTATGAGACGTCGCGAGTCCTCACGGAGAAGATATTGCAGTAAAAGTTACGTTAAAATTATATTTTATTCTACAATGTTTGGTTTCACAACTTAATTGTACTGACATAATAGGTTAAAAATTATTACGCTTGGGTGAGTTAACATTTATTTTTAAACTTAACTCTAAGTTAAGTGTAAAGTTAATGGCTCTCTTATAAAATTAATTGGTTAAGTTCAAAGTTACGTAAACAAAAACTAAATTAAAAGTTAAGTTAATGTTGAATTAACTTATTAAAAAAGTTAATTATACTAAACATATATGTTTTTTTAACTTTATCGCAAGTTAAATTTATATGAAATAATAATAATAAAAAGGTAATTGTTCTTAGAAAATGTCGATTGCTTTGTGCTGAGAATTCTATACGAAAAAAAAAACATTAGCGCTCCCAGAGACGAAAAATTCTACTTACATTTTTTAAGTTTTTAGTTTTGATTTATATCGTAAACAGCCCATAGCTTTTAATATTGATAAGTTATTTTAATATTGATAAATTATTTATTGATAAGTTATTATAAAAGAAGTTAATAGGTTAAAGTTAACGCATTTTAAAATATAAGTTCAAGTTAAAAATTGACTCATAAGATCAATCAAGTTAAAAAGTTGACAACTTTGTTAACTGACGTAACTTAGTTAATTTCAAATGAGTCAAGTGTTAACTTAAACTAATAAATAAATTAGTAGCAAATTTAATTTAACTTAAGTAAGAAATTTAATATAATAATATAAATGTAAATATGATTATATATAATACATTAATAATCGTTTGTGTAGCAGAAAGTCAAAACGTATATAACATTTTTAAACAAATATATAATAACTGCGATCATAATTCCACCCAAGAGATAGAAAAATTTTGTTTTTTTACTACATTATTTTGTGATTTTTACTACTTATTTATTATTTTCTTTATTATAGTATTTATTTTATTTATTTATTTATAATTTTCTGTATTATTTTCGTACATGCATGACTCGTTCGATTTGCAAAGCGAGAGAAATATAGCGGAAGCAATATAGTATATCGGGACGCGCCAATTGTGTCCACATCACGAGTTCTGTGACCTACGACGACGAAGAAGCGACGATATATCCATAGTTTGCGGTCGTCGTGTGAGCTCACACTACGCCAACTTATCTCCGCGTACCATACGCGCCCGCGATGGTAAACGATCGTCCGCGCGATTTGCGGTTTCAATAATCGAGCGCACTATCGCTCTCGGAAAATTCGCATACACGCTCGTTGGAAGTTGAGTCGGGAATCGACTTTTGAATTCGAGGACGAAGTCACGCTGGAACGCTTTTTCAAGCAAGGGACACACGCGTAGCAACGTGAACCCGACTGAATGTTTAATTACTTCTCTTTCTCTCTCTCTCTCTGTTTCTCGTTTGCATACATCTCACGTGTAACGAACGCTTCAGCTTACAAATATTTGTATTTAGAGTTAATGTGTCTGAATGAATAACAATTTCACTTTCCTTGTTGCAGAAAACGGCGGCACTTTGAGGATCCTGCTGAGCTTCGCCGTGGGTGCGTTGTTGGGTGATGTTTTTCTTCACCTCTTACCGGAGGCCTTCGAGAGCGAATTTCGGAGACAAGGTAATTTTTCACGCTCTGTTTGCGCCGGGGGTCCGGCTCGTAAAAAGCATTTGAATTCCGGTGTATCGTGAAAAAGTCACACGCGTTGTCGAAGAGATGTCGCGAGAAACGGAAATATCGATTGCGACACGCGCAGAATCACCGGTGAAAGTAAACTCGTCTACACTGAAAAAAAGACTAGTAATTGTCGCTAAGTGTAGTTATAGGATTTAATGGCGAGTTCGATTGAAAGTACTAGTGCGCATCAGTGCATACTAAGATTGATTTATAGTCTGTTTTTATATTTAGCTGTATTTATAGAGTTTTATATTTGAAATTGTCTTATATTCATTTTCAGATGCTATACAAGTCGTTGCACTGATTACGGAGCATTCGGAGACGAATTTAAAACGATCTTAAATATAAGAACGGATTATGAAACGACCATAGTGTGCACTGCTGCATATTAGTGCTTCCAATCGAATTTGCCAAAATAAAAATTCGGCAACTAATACCAAATATGATAATAATAGTCAGATACAAATGGTAGATTCGATGTACAAAGGACTTTTAATCACGATCAAATGGACTAAAGATCTTAGTAATAATTATGAAATATTTAATATCTGTTACCAAGTATTTGACAACTATTATCGAATATTTAGTAAGTGTTATGAAATCATTGAATTCTATTTGATGAAATATTTGATAACTGTTAATATTTATCTTATTGACGCATTAAACATTTAGTGACTATCAACTATACTTGTATTAATATATATCACCTAATGATATTCGTTGCATATCGACTGTTAAGTTGTTTTTAATATTAGTAAATATAGCATTGCCAATATTAGTAAATATAGCGTTTCTTAAAAGTTAAAAATATATCATAAGCGTAAGTACAAAGATATATCGTCATAAAGCATAAAGTAAATAAGCTGAGTAATGAGTTAGCTGGTCTGAGAAAAGATGAGGTGTCGCTACAGGATCGAATGATGAAACCACAGACGGAAATTCACGTATAAAGCGATAAAAAGCGTCTATGTAAAAAATAAAAAAATATAGATATCTTAAAGTAGTTTAAAGTCTTAGGCTGTATTCATAGTCGGATCTTATATTTAAAACTGTCTTAAGTTTATCTTCAGATACTTCATAATCAATGAAAAATGATCCGTACATCATCTGAAAATAAACTTAAGACGGTCTTAAATATAAAATCTGACTATGAATACCGGCCTTAAAGTCTAATGTCTTAACTTTAATGTATTAAAATAGTTTAAATAGTACGATGAGATTTTTTTAATAAAATAAAAAAATTACATAAATAATTTTCATCTCGGGCACAAGCTTCAATAATAATTAACAAATATGTTTCATTTTCTGCTACCAAGATTTGGCACTAAATTCCATAATCTAGTTTGATTACCTAAATATGTAGTTCAAGCAACTAAATCTTAGTTCCGAGAAATATATATTTACTCTATATAACTAAATTATTTCCTAGTTATTACTTTATATTTGGCCCGCATTATTTGAATGATTTAGCAACAACTACCAAATTTTGGTATTTGTTATGAAATCCTTTTTTAATGTTTTCTTCGATATATGCATCATATTATTATTACACAATGTGGAATATATTCATACGCCACTTAATGAATTTACGGCATATGCAACAATAACAACACGCGCGTCAGCGATGGAATGCGTGGAAATGCGTGTGAAAAAAGCGAATAACCTCGGATTGTATTAATGAGCCTCGCAACGGCTTAGCTAACTAGTTATATTACGATTTCCCTATCGTCGTGATATGTATCGTTCGATACGACGCACTTTGTAAGTGGAAACGCGTCTTAGTATTTCTAGATTCTTTGTTATTATTATTTTATTAAGTATATAGAAGAAAAATTCTCTTTGCACCAAAGAAATAGACAAAAATAAACAAAAAATATACTCATTTATAGAAACGATATAGCACAATAGAGGAAAAATAAATTACATTTTTCTAAGAAGATGAATCACTTTGTTTCTAAGTGTGCATTGCGACATATCAAAGAAGATAATATTATAAGAGGAATCGTTAGCTACACTGACAAGAAAATACTTACAAAATAAAAAAATACTCGATGTGCACATTAATAATATACTTAAATCTACATCTTTTATTACATAATTTTTTATTTAACTCACATGTGACACATATGATTTGGACATCTCAATTTGGCACATTAAGTTTGTTTCTGTTTTCGCTTATTTATATCTCGTAAAAATGCTGATAAAAATCTAAAAAAAAAATTAAATATAACCAGAGTTAAACAATTAGGATTAAACAAATGCTTTCATGAAAAGCTACTGAAGGTTTTAAGAAAATATATATTTCCTCATTTGATGAAATCAAATTTTCTCACATATAATTATGCAGGATTGGGAAGTAACTCGTTACTTCTCAATCCTGTAACGAAGTTACAGTTACAGTTACATTTTTTCGATAAGTGTAACTTAATTACTTTTTTCCCAACTGTAATTTAACTTAGTTACTTATTTTTAGTAACTTGTAATTTTTTTAACAGTTACTTTAATAGTTACTTTAATACTTGAGAAACGTAAAATAAAATTAAAATTATATAGTAATCGTATATTAATTTAATACATGTATCAACGTATTTATGGAGCATGTAATTAAATTCTTTTATCTCTACAAGACTATTATTGAATTTTTATGTTAAGTACAGATTCGACATTTGTTAAGTGGATAGACTAATTAATGTGATAGATATTAATTATACAATTCAATTCTTACATTTTAGTAAAGCTTAAAATGTAAGATTTTTGTATTTACAATAATAATTTACAATCATTTCAAGAAAGTAACTTAAAAGTAACGACTCGTTACTTTTTAAGTAATTGTAACGAGTTACTTTTCATAGCCAGTAACTGTAACTAGTAACTTGTAACTGTAACTAGTTACATTTTCAGCAAGGTGAACTGTAACTGTAACTAATTACTTTTAAAAAGTAACTTTTCCAACCCTATAAATATGTATATGTAAATTTATATTAATATAAGGAAATATAGTTTATTGGTACTCATCGAATATTTTTTATTTCTCAAATATTTTTAATCTTAATGTAGCATACTCGATTTATTAATAGGTTTAAATCTGCCAATAGGAGCTTTCCCTTTTCTCCGTTTTTATTGTTCGCCTGTCATATGTATGTACCACGTACGAGCAGCGTGAATGCGTTTCTCGAGCTTCTGCACGTCGGAGCGCATTGCTGCGAGATAAAGAGAAAGAGCTTTATGAACGACTTAAGCGACAACTTCGAACTCTATTGTGCGCTGGTTGCGGGATTTGAATTGCCAGCTGTGCCCACGTAAATGAAATGCCCTCTCGACCGAATCGCGTTAGAGATTTCGAGACGATCTAGTGGAGGCTGATAATACTGCTATGTGTAAATTGATCAGTGCCTCGAATTGCAGATCCCTCGACACATTTGCGTTTTCCGTTCGTCGCTTTCGACGATACCGTGAACTGGATTACGTAGGCGGTATGTTAAATTGCGTAATCCGAGTGAAATCGTCGTCTGACGCGACGGTGTATCGAAGAATGCGTGATTTATGCGTGCATAAATACGAATCGATCGGTCGATTAACGAGGTTGCATAGACAATACATTATATGACGGATGATTATGTCGTCAGTGACATTTAATTCATTTGACGAGCGAATGCTTCGTTTTATCTTGCCTATCTTGCACGATCTATCTGTTGTCTTTCCATTTGCAAGTGTCCCACGTTCTGCGCATTTGTTGACGCGTACATTTATTTACAGCCAAAAACAGCCAAGCGTCTACACCGGCTGGCTTGTGGATATTGTCCGCTCTTCTATTCTTCATTATCTTCGAGAAGATCATCGCTGCCGTGAATGAGGAAGCGCCGATCATTACGGAACAACAGACTGATGATGAAACCTCCAGTCAGAATATGAGCCCGGAGAAAGAGATAGACAACAATAACTGTATCACGCTGATGACCGCCGAGAAGAACGGTTTCGCAAAGGACTGCTTGCAAAATACGACCGACGAGGTAAATATAATAAAAAAAGTTACAAGTGATGTGTGTTCAAAACGTTCTCACTAGAAATGTCCTGAGAACGTTTCAGATGTATTCAAGCCTATGTAAAAATGTCAATTAAATTTTTCTCAATTTAATAATTGATTTGAAACAATACGTTTTAATTCAACTAGCTGACGACTGATTTGAGCAAAATCAGTTGAAGAATGTTTAAGAGGTCAGACCAATGTAATGCTCTGGAAAACATCGTATTTTTGGGACTTAATTTTGCGAAAATGGATCAACCAAATGTTTTGAAACATTATATATTAATTAAGTGACTATTAAACTTTATATTACTATTTTTGTTATTTAGAAAAATATATAAATAAATATGCAACATATGAGCGAACTTATGACTACAAAAAATATCGTTGCAATCGACGGGAAAGATAGCGCCCGTTCTAATGATCTGAAAAATTAGAAAACCAAAAAATTTCTTAAATAATATTCTTAAATAATATACTTGTAAATGGAAGATGAAAAAATTTTAAACTGTGAAACGAAAATTGCAGATAGCTGTTTAAAAATTGAATATCAAAATTTCTATTTGATCTTTTGTTATTCTGCACTATTAAAGAAGATATTAAGTTTAATTTTTTTCTGAATTTTTTAAATTCATCCTTCAAAATTACAAGTATATTATTTAAGAAATTTTTTGTTTTTAATCTTAATTCTCGATAGAACGAGCACTATCTTTCCCGCTGATTACAGCGATATTTTTTGCACTCGTTCCGCCACATGCTGCATACTTATAGGTTTTTCTAAATGACAAAAATAGTAATTTAAAGTTTGATAGTTACTTAATTATTATACAACTCTTTTTAAAAGGTTACATTGATCTGGCCTTTTAATTAACGACTGATTTCAACGAATTTAATTAAAGGCCGTTTAATTGACGATTAATATAAATAAATTCAATCAATTCACTCGAATAGCATTCGATTACTCAAGATGAGTAATCACAGTGATACAGATGAGTGATACAGTGAGTTCTGTGGATAATATTCATACCTGAAGCATCATGATATTGTGAAAAATGACGATGATTGAAAAATGTTAAAACCCACGTTAAAGACACTGCTCGTATCAGTGAACAATTTTTTATTGAATCGATTGAATTTGTTCATCATCAATTAAACTTGCTAAGTTCAATTATTAATTGAATGATCTTTAATTCCCTTTACTCATATAAATTGTCAATTGAACGGTCTTTAATTGAATTCGTTAAAATCAATTGCCGATCGAACGGCCTTCGATTGAATTTATTAAAATAAATAGTCAATTAATTAATAGTCAAACGATCTCCAGTTGAATTGGCTGACGTTTACACGTTAGTTAAGTACAATAATTAATTTTAAAAAATAATTACTAGCAACTGTACTCTCAGGACATCCTAGGCATACCCAAAAAAATATAATCTTATTCTTAAAGAATTCTTATCTATATTATTACCTTAAAAGGATTTTTCTAAAACTGAAAGGAAAATATTTTAAGTATAATATTTTTAAGACTTAATGAAAAAAATTGTTGTCTTTTATCTATAGTATAAATCTTGTTTTTAATAGAAATTTTTTTTTGGTAAGAAAGCGTCTGCTTCAAGTAAATATATTCCTCATGTTCAAGAGGAAAAAAAGTCAGAATAATATCTAGTAGATTTCCGATTAATAGTTCACTTCAATAGAAGAAACAATCTTTCGGTAATTTTTTACTTAGAATATGGGATTATAGAAAACTAAAGTTCTTTTTATTACATTGCAACTAGGGATTACCTTACAACTAGAGTTCTTCATTGGAATATTTTTCTTTTGATTTTAGAGTAATTCTCTTGAGGCCGTATGTAAGAGAATATCCGCTAACAATCAGATTATATTTTTTTGGATACACTTTCCCAAATGTTTTGAACACGTCCTAGATTATTTTGAAATGTTTTATACTATCAAGTTCTAACGTGTTCTTTGCTATACAACAGATACAAATTTTCCTGCGGAAGCAATTGGACAAAAATGGATTTATGCAGACACCAAACGGTATCAAAGATCCGCGTAAGAACGGTTTCAATAAGGATGTGGATGTTATGAAATCAGCATTGGCGAGCAAATGTCCCAACGGGGATGTCCCAAACGGACCACTGATGGACGAGACGAAGATCTGTTTGAACAAATTGGCGAAAACCAATGGTTTCACATCGACGATTTTACGTACCGACAAAATTGCCGCTACTTACGCGATCCCGAAGAACAGCATCGTCGACCGTTTGATCGTCAAGGCGAACAAGCTCATATCCGATTTGTCACATGCCAAATTTTTTGATCCTCAGTCCTTCCCGGGCTACCTCAACCTTTTGATGAACTTTCTCGACAATTTTACTCATGGCTTGTCTGTGGGTGGTTCGTTCCTCATTTCCTTCCATGTAGGTGTCCTCAGTACGTTTACTATTTTGGTGCACGAAATACCTCATGAAGTCGGAGACTTTGCCATTCTACTACGAAGCGGATTTAGTAGATGGGACGCTGCGCGGGCGCAGTTGGTTACCGCTGGCGGTGGTATCGTTGGTGCTTTAGCTGCCGTATTCTTTTCTAGTGGTCTAGGTAAGTGATTGAAATCTGGAGCGTACGCGCACTTCAATTCGATTCTGAGAATTTCATAATGCACGGGAAATAATAAGCAATTATCTTGAAATGTGAAAATGTTTTGAAGCTAACCAAAGTGCCCAAAAATGTTTATCCATCTTAATATTATTCAATGTTCTTTCTTTGTAATTTAGAAATATGTATTACATATAAGATATATATATATATATATATATATATATATATATATATATATATATATATATATATATATATATATATATATATATATATATATATATATATATATATATATATATATATATATATATATATATATATATATATATATATATATATATATATATATATATATATATATATATATATATATATATATATAAAAGTGTATTATATAATATCTATCATAAATGTGATATTGTGAATAATTTTGATGTGTTCTCTTTTTTTCCAGGGGAGAAAACCAATTGGATATTGCCGTTAACCGCAGGAGGATTCATACATATCGGCCTGGTAACCATCTTGCCCGATCTATTGAAAGAAACAAATCCGGTGGAATCTTTAAAACAACTTTGTGCTCTACTTTTTGGGATCGTTGTAATGGCTGCGTTGATATTCGTTACTAATATGTTTGATCACATGCAAAATTAGTTCCGTCAACTAGGGAGATCCTATTATGTTAATATACACATGTATTGAATATAATTTCACCGGTCCCTCGTCTCTACTTCTTAGTATGTGTCAGTACTCTGAAGTTGCCATAAAGTTATACAATGCTTGTTGCTCAATTGTGATGAAATTTGAAGGCTATATAGCAACGAGAATCGACTGACCAAACTCATGTACACGCGATGTATAATATATATATATATATATATATATATTTATATATATACATATAATACATATATTAATAAATATGTGTATATATATATACACAATTGATTAATGTTAATTAATATGTATTATATGCGTATATATAATTGGATTTAGTCTAGGGTTTGTAGCGTTTTATATTGGAAATATTCTTCAGCACTGGAATATCTTATTATCTAAGTCTGAGATTATCATCATAGTTTCTTCTGCTTCTCTATGATATTTGATTGAGATTAATTTGCGTTCGCAAAGGTACAATTTTCATGATGACTGTATTTGAACAATATCGCAAGGACTGTTTTCCCAAGTCTGAAGCGATGATAACAGCGAAACAAGATTCGTTACGAAAATAATATATGTATAATTTGTACATTAATTTATCATGGAACTACAGTTATACACATGTTATCGCGTTAATATTGACAAGATAATTTGAGAAATGCTGTTATAAATCTCGCATAGTTTATACATTAATAAGCACACATCTTCCATCATAATCGAGACAGTATCAATACCTTCCAGTATCGATACAGCTGGCTATTCTCTTTTGGATAACCAAATGCTGCGATACCAGTTAAAAATTAAATTTAAAACCAGTATTGACGTATAAATATCATGTTGTGAAGAAACCTGAAATATGATGTATATAATGTTCATGCTTGTTTACTAGAAAGACATGTGAAAAATCGCGATGAGAGCTTGTAAATCTAAGCGCGACACGTTATTACATGCGTGTATTTATGGAGCACGTACGAGAACATTAAGTATACTAATATATACTAAGTATATTAAGTATACTAATGTATACTAAAATGTATACATTAAGTTCCTAACGATAATTGTATATATATAACAATCAAATTTATTCCACCTTCTTTTTTTAAAAATGATCGCATGATAAAGAGAAAAAATATTCCATGTGTTGTACAGAATTGGAACATTGAAATCATAAATTTAAGTTTATGATTCGACAAATTGAACACATACAGATAATGTGAAATTTGTGTACAAATTTTGTAAAATTTGAATTTATATACTATGCATAGTGATCTTTTTAATGTATTCAATGAAATGTGTATAAGACCCCATAGAATTAGATTACTTTTTGAATAGACCGTAAAATATGTAAAGAGTAAACTGGAGTAAACATAAAATTACGTCCCTTTTATTCGCGCCTTTACAGAATCTTATTGACGTCATATCAGTAAAATATTAATTGTATGTATCATCATTTTGGTGCTAATTTAATATAATCTTAACGAAATTGTAAGTAAAACACTAAAGCAAAAAAAAAAAAAGATATTTTGAATACTTATTGTGACCACTTAATAATATTTACGTCTGTGTGAGTACTATTATGAAAAATTTATATATTGTCGGATATTTAAAATACTTCGTTACATATATTTAGAAACATTCCAAATTAAATTTAGATAATATATTTAAATGATCCTAAACTCTTTGTTATAAGTTGGTCTTTATAAAAATTGGTGGAACTAATGAAATTTTATTATTGTGGTTTTCTCTTGATAGTTTCATGCGAAATGTTCATATCTTACAAGTTGCATAAATAAAAGCAACACTTGTACTTAACAAGTGGAAAAAACAAGATATTACTTTCTGATTGCGTGTGATACAGGGAAGTGCTTTTTTTTCTTGCATCTGTAAATAAAAACTGTATTCGGAAAATTAGAAATGAACGTTTTTTACAAAAATATTTTCTATGAATTACGATTACAAATGAAACTGTCATATGTAATTTCTAATTCTCTCCCTATGATTTGTAAATAAAATATACTATTCTGCAATATATATATATATATATATATATATATATATATATATATATATATATATATATATATATATACACATACATATATACATATATATATATACACACATTCATATTTTACTTATCTTATATTACATGTTAAAGGACCTTATTAGACGATAAGATGAAACACAATCAGTAGAAAAGAAAATAATTTATTAAATTATTTTTAAACAAAAAACTTAATAAATGTACATTCACTAGCTGATAGTTGAAGCAACTAAATGCCTCTTAAATATATACATATTTTTCAGTCATTTATTATAATTTCTAATATTTCTTACATGCAGAAATATGAATTTTATATGTAATTATACATATATACGAGTTACGTTTGTGGGAGTTCTACGATCCACGAGGCTTTACTCGAACGTTACAAGATACGCCAATGAAAAAAAAAATTCTTATAATCCCCGAATAATCACCAAGTCATATTAATTGTTATAATTTTTATACATTTAAAAAAATATTTAATAAACTTAACGTTATATAATTTAATAGAATATCCAATTTCGTACTTGCATTGATACTTGGATTCGAGTACACCATATTTCGGCTGCAAGAGACAAAAACTGGCCCACTCTAACTAATCACTAATGCAAGTGTAATAAGTTATTTACAGTGAGAGTTGTGTAATACTACATTTAGAATAATAAAATATCTTTCACGATATTAATTATTAAATAATAATTCTTAAAGCTCCTGGATATTTGACGTAGTCATATTGGATTGTGACGTGAGAAGTGAGAAATAATGCTAAAAATTTTTACATCACATTTCCAAATAAAAAGAGGAGAAAAGTTGCTTGTCACGACTAATTTTACAGCTACTTATTAACTGTCAAGAGAAAATATATAGCTCTCAGAGCATTTTACTAGTATGATCAAACAGTCTAATGTGTTCTTCCATACAAATGTCTTTCTATTTAGAAATGGTCCAAAATTCAATTTTTGGACATGCATTTCCTCACTTCTGATGTCATCGATCAAGAATTTTGCGGCAAGTATCCAGGAATCTTAAGATTCATTGCAAATATTCATTTGCTGCATGTGGCATCTTTTCTTTCATACTTCCAAAACTTTTCTTACAATAGTTGGATGTTTTCCTTTTTCCTTGCAAAATTTCTTATTTATTTAAATAAACGTGACTCAGGAAAGCCTTATGTTATTGCGCGTAGTACATGATTACAATTTTACATTTGCTGACACAAGGCTAGAATCCAATCTGCACTATCTAAAACTTTCGTATTTTTTTTTCGATTGCTTTAGATATCACCTCAAACTATTCACAGTTCATCATGAGGTGCTTCAAAAATAGTAATTTTCAATCTCTCGATCAGCAATATTAGACTCTTTAGAACATCAGTTTCGTCGATAGTGAGTTTAATATCCAGGTTTTGATAGAAATGTAGGAGATTATCTATAACAGGTACAAGCAGCAGTTTGATGTTCTTAAATTCATTTCTACAAATAGGAGACACCGTAATCATACTATCGGAAACTACTTCGAGAAAGTCATTATTTTCTATGCTGAATTGGCCAGCTAACTTTTCTTTGAAGCACTTGATCATCAAATTACTCAAAAGTTTACAATAATCGTGCCTCAATAATTTCTGCTCGAAATCAGTAACGGCATACTCTCTCGTCTTCTGCTGACGCTGTTCTACATCGTAAATCTCTTGTAGATTTTGCCTCTCGATCGTTAGGTCGTTGATCAATTTCATCGCTTTCATTTGTATCTGCAATTGCTCATCGTACAAAATCTTGCCAAGCAGTTGCAGACCGCCATGATCGATCCAAGCCTTCTGAGCAGCGGGGAACTGACGTATTAAGGCACTTAGAGCAAAAAGGCATCTGGATTTCACCTCGACTTTACCGCTGGTGGATAAAACGTGCAATACTTTTTGGATGAAGTCATTTTCGAGCGCTTTAGCTTGCACTTTTGGATTTGATTGGACAGCTGCTCCCAGAAGACGTAACGCTTCCGCCTTTATTTCATTATTACTTCCATTAAGGCATGGTGATATAATCTTTGTCAGTCTGTAATCAAAAAGAGCATACCAGATATTGCTTCTTATTTTGGAAATATTGTGACTGTTACTTACCCATCCATGTCTGAGAATGCTTTAGCGTTGTCAATTTGGTGAAGAAGATATTCCAAGTTGTTCAGAATATCCAAAACTTCTTCGGTCTCGATATTGGTTAATGTTCCTGTAGTGATACTATTTTTGTAAAAAAGAAATTTCTGAAAGAACTTCTTCAATAATTCAGAATCGCTTGTAACATTGATCTTTAGAGCGTTAAGCTCCTCTTTGACAGTTTCATAAAAACGTTTAAAATGTTTCCCAGTTTTTGGTCGGATTTCTCCATCCTAAAATAAAAGAATAATGTTACAATAAAGTTATATTGTTTTTGCATTGGAGAATTTTAAGGTTAATCAGCTTTAAACTGCTATCATAATGCAGCTGTAGTCAAGATGATGCAACATATTGAAAGTACTGAGTAAGCAAAACTTTAAAGATTGTAATTACCACACAGAAGAATATTATAAAGATACTCAAATAATAATCTGTAATAGAGTATGTAACATTCAACATTATTAATATAAGAATATTTACATTTGTATTCGACAACTCTGCTTCCTCTTGCTTAAGTTTTTTCAATCTTGCCTTCAGCTCATCAATTGGAAACTTCAAAGACTCTGATTCCTTCTTTATTTTCACATTATTTGTTTCTTCAGTTTCCAATACTGACTTATCAGGATGTAATGCCAGCGACTTGGATCGATTTGCAGCTTCATTTTCTTCTTCTACATCCTTTTCATCACTCATTAACTTGGCTTCTATCACTCCAGTTATAAAATTATGCCTCACATGGAGTCCTTTCGGGATAGGAGTTCCTAACAAATCAAATTTTTATGAAATTCCAGTCAATCAGTATATATTTGTTGATGTTGAATATTCATTGAAATAGGTGAATTCCACACCAAATTTTCCTATCAAAATATATATCCATGCAATAAAATACATTAATAATCATTACATTGTGTTTCTAAAAAAGATAAACAATTTGTGTTTCTTGACACATTGGCACTGAAATTATTTAAGACGAGAATATGTGGTCCGCATTTTAATATATAAAAAAAAAGACTCATACACTGTACAAAGAACAATCATTTCGAGATGATTCGTCCCGCGATCAAAATTTCTCAAATTTGCACCTCGCAATCACGCTCGAGCGTACGTCACTGGGAGCACTCGGCTTGCGATCGCATCGCGCCGCACTATTTTTCGCACGAGGCGAATTGTGCGTCGTCCGGACAATTCCGGAAAATCGCGCGACGGAGCGCACGCGTCCTCGGGGAGGACGTCGGGAAAGACGTATCTTCGCAACATATCGCGAGAGGAGCCCACGGCGGATTTGACTGACGTGGTGTTACGCGAAAAGACGACCCGGTGGTGGTCGGCGTAAAGTAGTCCCACGTCGTATGTCGCAACCGGCTCCGAAAACTCACCTTTCTTCACCGTCTGCCACTCGTGCGTGGCCACAAAGATGCTCTCGTTTTTTTCGGCCCCGCCGACAATCGCGAGCGAGAGGTAAGCCAGCAGAATGTACGTGTCGGCACGCATTCTGACTAGCACGCAGCCGACTGGCCGACGCGGAGACACTGACGATTTTCCCCAAGGCACCGCGGGGATGATCCCTTACGAAGGTGCGCGAAACTCGCTCGTCATCGACCGGCGAAACGTGCGACGTGCGTTCCTCAGAATGCCGCCACGCATGACATTTTGCCCACGACACTCGAGCGTTATTCACGTGTTGCGTCCGTTATTTATTCCGTCAATGCGGGCCCAATGTGCCGACGGTAGTTACGGGCACTCGCCACCAGAGCGGTCTCGGCCAATGGGGGCGCGCGATGTTGCCACGTTTGCCGTTTGAATCGGCCCGCAGTCAAACATCGCTTTTCGCCGGTTGATTTTGCTCGCAATCGATACGAACGCCGCTCGGCTCATCATCGAGTCGCTTTGCTCCGCGCAAAATTGCTCAAAACCCTCGTATGATTCCCTTCCTCGGCAACTGAAACTTTGAGGGTCTCACCGACCGCTCGGAACGGCACGTTCTCTACGTGCCTTTCGCTCGGAATAAATTCTCCCGACCAATCAGCAAATTTCCCTCCACGTGACGGAGCTTTTCGTAACTCTCGACGATATCGTTTCGGGGAAGATCCTCGAGAATGAAAGCGTTGCGAGGGTTCGCCAAACGCCCCGCTCGTCGCCTTCGGTGAGGAGCGCTCGGCAACGTCGCGCAGCCCGCTCGACCAATCGGCGCGCAGAACGTACTGTGAGCGCGCGAGGCCGACTACGCTCGCCTCATTTGCTACGCGTCCGCCCAGCACGTGTGACTCCTGTTCCTCCGCGCAGTAATCGGTTGCGCGCGCGGCGTCTCTCCAGCCTCTCCATCAGCGCGTACGGCACGCACACGTCCATCAGCTCCCGGACCCATCACGCTAACGAGAATCCATTAATATCGGACCGATCGCCATGGCGGAGGAGTATCTATACGGTAAATATGATCAGCCGCATCGCCGCGTTCACCGTCCGCCCGTTATTTCGACATGCACGCGGATACTTACGTGCCGTCGGCCATTGAAAGCGAGCGAGGGTGCGCTGGTCGAGACGCCGGCTGCGGCGTTCGGCCATTGCGACGAACCCCATTGTTCCCGAGGCTGGCGTTATTAAACGCGCGACGGAAAGTATCGAACCTCGACTCGCTCGCGTCGCATGGTATTTTAGACACGCATCGTCGCGTCATCATCATAATAATCATCGTCTTCGCCGCCGCCGCCATCGCCGCCGCCGTTGTCGGAACGGCGACTCATTGCGCGACCGGTGTACGAATTGTGTGATTTGTGTGTCCAGGAATCACCCTCGAAGGGCCGAACTCTACTGAGGTATGGGACCCGGAACACAAGAACGATGACTTGGACGGCACGAACCAGCACATGGGCGCCGACCAGAAGCTTATCATTAAAATGGTAAGTACGACGTTTCTTGTGCGGCTGCGATGAGCAGGACAGACAGACAGAGAGGAAGAGAAAGAGAAAGAGGAAGAGAGAGAAAGAGTGAGACCGTGACGGTCGGCGGCCCTCCCCGCCCGCGTTTCTTTCATTACCGAGGTGAGCAGCGACGCGATACGCGTCCTAGGTAGATATGTAGGTACGTGCTGCGACGCTTCCTCTCGTTTTCGTCGCGCTCGCCGGCGGCGCCGCCGCCAGGTAGCCGATGGCGGGCCACCCGGCGCGCGTGCCGGTGTCGTACATCCGTGTGCGAGCGTCGCGTCATGGTGCGAGGCCAGTGTTTGCCGTCACTCTCATAGTCACCCCAGTCTACTCGCTCTCGCGCACTCTCGAGCAACGCTCGTCATCGTCGTGGACGTTTGCGCGCGAAACTTCAATCGCTGAGCGGCGGCATCGTGGGCGATCGGCCACTCTTCTCTCCTCGTTACTCGAACGAATCATAAGCTCGTCGGCGTCATGTACTTTGTTCCAATTTTCCGATCCGAACGCACGAATGATGCTACGACGTCGAGAGCCATTGTAGACGTGGCTTATTTTTTGCTTCCTCTCCCTGGAAACGTTCGATCGTGCCTCGAATTACCGAATCGCCTTCCTCGCAAGCACCTTGTGATAGTTTGATACTTGGCGCCATTTTTCACAACGGCTTCGCCCTTCCCCCACTTTAGATCGCGTTCTATTATGTCGGGAAGAAGGCTGTAACGGAAATTTCGCGAGGTAAATCCGCGTTGATGAAGGAGTGAGAATATGTGGTGTTGTCTTGCACCTCGCCAAGCGAGATCTACGAGTCTAACTGGGAACCCTCCAGCGTGTCGAGCTTAGCGTAAATTATGTGAGATCTGTGTGAATCTTAATTAACAAATACTTATTATATATAATTTTTTACAAGAATTACCTATAATATATTTTTATTTCTTATATATCGTATAGTATCTAGCTTCTAATTAAGTGTGCACAAAAGCAACAGTATATAAACATTGAATAAAATAAGTTACATTTTATTCAATTGCAGTTGGCAATAAATAAAAAAAAAGCCAAAACATCCAAAATATAATACCTTATTCTATTCTGCATTCTCTTTTCTTTGCACGATCATTTATGTAATTATTTCTTCTGTAATATGCAAGCTCCTTCTTTTCTAATGCAACACAACCAGCTAATTTGAACTAATTCAAACAACTTTCTAAATATACAGATGAATTATATTAATGATTTTAAACTATTTTGTTTATAACATTGCATTCACTTGTGCTATGTAGCAACTGTTAATGATAAAATTTGCAGGTGCTTTTGAGCATATACCTGAATTTTTTAAAAATGGTTATTACTAATCATGAATTTTGCAGGCGCTCTTGGGACCAGAAGCCAAACCTGGAGAGCTCAATGTGCTGCAGGTTGAGGCAATGGGATTAAAGGGACCCATCAAGACGCCAATTGCTTTATTGGAAATGGGAAAAACGTCGCAAATCATTCTTGATCTTAGTTTCCCTGACCCTCCTGTCACATTCACATTGGTTAATGGCAGTGGGCCTGTTCATATAGTCGGACATAACCTTCTTGGTATGTGCTTCTCTCTCTACATAGAAATATCCATACTTCGTAAAATTAGATTTAATGTTTAAAGATAATATTGTCATTGATGGATCATTGGCAATTTTATTGTATGTTATGTAATAATAATTCATTAGACATTAGATATGCTATTTATGTGACTTTTTGCATACAATACAATATATATTGCATTGTGTGTGTGTGCGCGCGCGCGCGCGCGCATGTGTGTGTGTGTGTATCTTGACAATCAAATCTTAAAAAATTTTATTGCATTTTCTCATCAGATCTTAATATTACTTTGACTATATGATTCTGTTTACTTGTGAGGAATTAATGTTCTTATCCGATTGATGCATAAATCTTTATAAAAGTATGTTGAATAAGGGCGATATAAATGAATCTGGACGCCTTCTGAAAAACACCGAGAAAATTATATGGAAGTATGCTTCATTAATTAGGACTTTTCTCTTTTTGGAAATAAAAAATTTTTATTGTGAATAATTTGTCGTCGCTTTTAGCATATATATGATGCATGATGTTCACACTCGTGTTATATACACAAAGAGAAATTTTTAAAGCTATGCATGAAATAAAACGTTAATATATTTAAATATATAAATATTTCTTAATCTGGGGTAATTATCAATTTTATGCCATCAAATGTTTTATGTAACATATGGTACATTGCTTATTTTATTAACAAATCGATAGTCAATAATTTTTGCATATATTGGATAAAGCATTCTCTCACGAGTGCAATTTTATTCTCTTAAATGAATTGCCAATCCAACGACGGTCTCGAGTCTGCAGAGTTAGATTGGATAATCTAATGATCCTAATATATAAAATGTAAATTTTTTAATTATTATATGATACTTGTAATACTTGTTATTGTATGGTACTGATTCTCTGCTTTTAATATATTATTTGTTTAATACATTATTTATTCATGATGTATCAAATTATGATCTGATCGTAGCGCATTAAAAAAATGAATTTTTTTTAGAAAAATTTCTTTTTCCGTTTCTTATTAATATTATTATTTCGGATGTATTTCACAGAATGATCTCATTTTAGGTGCGCACATCGAAGAGTTTGACGATATAGATGATGATATGGAAGAAGAAAATATCGATGATGAGGAAGATGAAAAGGTATGTAAATTAGTATTTTATACATATTATAAGAAATTATAAATACGCCACATGCAAAGAATTTTGTTATGAAATTAATAAAAATGTATGTGCGCAAAATTGATAATTACAAAAATTACGGGTGAGAGACATGAATATTAACGTAAAATTATCGACAAAATAAATTTGTATTTCTAGAGAGATCTGATAGATTTAAAAAAAAAATACACATACATATACATATATATATATATATATATATATATATTACAACATTAAATTTGAATTCACAGTAGAGAATCTAATGATAAAATTTACATGTCGATTTTGTGTTATATATTGTTAAAAACAAAAATATTTCAGTATTCCATATTATATATTTTAGAAATACCGGTTTCAGGCTCCGCAAATGAAACGAAAGCTTTCCGCAGAGGTAAAAAAGAATGGCGTTAAACACATCTAACCGGATGAAGCAGTAGACTAATATCACGTTAATATAAAGATATATCAATATTGCACAAAGAACACTGAAGTTTACAATACCTTATTTAAGATATTTTTGGTTTGGTAAGAGAGATGAATTGGAAATAATTCATCCATGAAAAGTTACAGTGTAGCTGACTTGTGTTTTCATTCCATACTTATCATTTTAATTTTGTATAATAAATCATTCTATTTTGCAAAGAGTTATTTTTATTCTTCATTGATCATGATTCCTCCTTTTTCTGTTATTTATAAAATAATGCGTTTGTTTTCGTGTAATTATTTTGTTCTGGATTTACAAATTATTATATATTGATATTTACATTAATTAAACGATTATACAAGCAAGATTTATTTTTGGAAGATTGTAGTTGTTAGCAACCATATTTTTATACTTTGATATATTTTAATTACAATATATGTAGAAATTTTAGGAATATATATATATTTTTTTTTTTCTTAAAATTTTTATACTAGAAATGAAGGCAAACGCATGAATTACACATAAGAAGCTTCGCTATACTTATTTCAAGACTTAGATACCTTGTGTTCTATATGCAATTTTGGAATGTCATAATCTAGCATATAAAAGTTAAAAGTGTAATTAAGTGTAAAAATTAATTAGATATATTTACACCATTTGCTGTACAATTACATTCTAAATATTTTGCAGGACCCTGATGATGAAGATGATGAAGATGACGAACCTAAGAAGAAAAACGCCAAATTGACAACTGCAGCCAAATACAAAAATCAGGCTAACAAGAACAAGAAAAAATAAACATGAGCCTTAAAATTATGAAAATACAATAAACTTTTAAGTTAGGATATTAAACTTAAGTCCGTCATTGTCATCCGCATTTGTGCGAACTAGTATCATTTCATGAGGGCCTTGCCCTTTTCAACTCATTTCATTATCAAATAACAAAGGTTGCCTTCCACTTTTCTAGGAACACAACTGGGCCATCGAGATTTTTATATAAAAAAAGATAATTATGGTGTGATCTTTAAGTGATCTATCACAACTGGCTAATTCGTGTAAAAAGGATGATTTTTAGGTTATGTCAAAAAAGTATTGCATACTTATTTAACAGATATAGAACAGTACTTTCAGTGCTGTGATTAATGCTTTTTTTTTTTTAAGTGGGATTATTATAATAACACGAGTATCTATTCACAAGTAAATTATTTGAAATGTACATTTGAGTACTTTTTTAAGAAAGTAAATATTATTTTTCTATAGCTGTAACTTCCCTACTTATTCAGGGGGGAAGTATCCTACAATTACGTTGAAATATATAGGGAAAATTTTTAAACGCAGTAGGATTATATATATATATATATATATATATATATATATATATATATCTTCAACACGATCTTATCAATTTGATTTTACCACAATGACTGCAGTTTGAACCGTGTTATAACGCGTTTCTCAAAACTAATGTTTGAATAATTTTGGCCCAGTTCTTACTGCGAAATTTGTGGAAAGCTAATAAACAGATATACAATCCTAGATAGCACAAGCTTTTAAAAGACATCTTTTGAAAGTTCGTGTTGTCTGGTGTTATAAATTTTCTTTCTGTCTCCTCCGAGATCGTGTTCATATCGACGCACTTCCAGAAATGCGAAAATATATTATTCTAACGTAGCCGTATAAACACGATTTGAAAATAGTCTCCTGTAAGAAATTGCGTGTAAGGCTCCTTTGTAACTAATTATTTTCGTGTGTACAAGATGGGGAAAGGATTAATAATCATTCGGATGGATTCTCTACTTCAGAATCTCACTTATGCCTGTAAAAATATCAGCATGACGAAGAAGAAAACATACACGTATGTCATCTCAACATTCATTCCATTTGATGAAAAGTAATAGAAATGGGGGTTACAGGTGTACCGGGTAAAGAAATGTTCTTACATCAGCGTCATACGCGACTGAAGCATATGCGATGCGTGCAGCAAGATACGCGTACGGATCGAGTAGTCTGTACACCTAGTAGTCTGTACACCTATTTTGTACATATACGATACAATAAAAAATTTCACAACTTTTAATCCGTATTGCTCGGGTAAATGTTCATTTAAACGCACCTCTCATTTTGTAGCATTACTTTTTATCATTTCTTCTTGTTCCTAAACTATAAGATATTGTTCTGTTATAGCGATTTGTATAAATTTGTAATAGTGAAATTATTATTCTGTATACACAATAAATATTTTCCGCAATTATTAATGCTATTCTATACACGCAACATTATATATAATATATATCCAAAAATTGATGTTTTGTGATCAATAGGCGATTCTCTGGTGTGTTACAAACAGCGATAATAATTACCAATTTTTAACGAAAAGACAAATAATGTGAACAAGATAAGAAATACGCAAATTTCGTGTCGCGAATATGAGTGTACATTTTGTTTTAATATGGTTTAAACTTCTCAAATGCATTTCAGAACACAGCTGATGGTGTAATGAGTAAATTTCTAGGAATTAATAAACAAGTTCTCATTGGACTATCGGCTGCTTCTCAGATGTGTCGATATACAGGGCCGTGCAGGTAAATCCGGAAAAAGTTTAGATAGGTATAGTGAAGTGATGTGTTATTGGATTTTGGTGTTCTAGGTTTCTAATTAAAGCTTAAGAAGCGTACTTTGACAGTGAAACAACGTATAAAGTGAAAGTGGAAAGATGAGCAAAGAACAGGACAGGAGAGGTGCGATCCTGGAATCACTGCGCGCCGGGAAGACCGCCAAGGAGATTGTGGATTGGTTTGGCTACTCAAAAACGCAAGTTTACGAGATAGCCAAAACCTATCGAGAGGCGGACAACAAGGACGACGTTACTTCGGACCGGGCAAGCCACAGCAAGCGATCTGACCGGAAGCGGACTGGTGAATTCATCGATCAGTTAAAGGATCGGATTGACCAGAGTCCTGGAACCAGTATGGCAAAGTTGGCCAAAGATATGGGCGTACATCGTGCAACAGTGAGTCGTGCAGTTCACCAGGATCTGCATTATAAATCGTATGTACTACGGAGGCGACAATTGCTGACGGACGCCATGAAAGTCAACCGGAAAATCAAATGCCAAGCACTGCTAAACGACATTAAGCAATCCGCTGGATTACTACGTGTGGGGCGTAGTAGAGGCAGAGGTGAACAATGAACCTCATAACACAAAGGACGCGCTACGTAAAAAAATTACGGCGGTAATGACCAATATGAACAGAGAGGAGCTGGCTCGGGCGTGTAGGCGATTCAGGTCTCGGCTGGAGCAGGTCGTTGAGGCGAACGGGGATTATATAGAGTAATATTAACGTATGTGGTGAGTACTTTCATTTTGCCAAGTTGTGTGCATGTAAAAAAATTTTTGGGGATAATATAATTATTTTTTTCTTTCAGTAAATTTTTCCGGATTTACCTGCACGGCCCTGTACAGGGTGGCCTACATAATTCTTAACTCGATATCTTAAAAACTATATTTTATCGATTTTAATGATTTAAGTCTTGAATTGTATGGATCTAAAGGACCTTCAAATGGAGGTTGGTCCGTCAACCTCTTGCGTGGGTGGAACGGGGATTAACTTAAACATTTTAAATGGAAATGTCTATAAAAAATTATATTTTTGAATTCTTTGATCAAAAACAACCTAGTTTTATCCGAAACATTTTTTTCTATTAACTTCTATTTTTTCTATTAGCTTCTGTTAACCTTCTGAGGGCTGACTATTTTTTTATCGGCTTTTTTATTTTAAGAGCTAGAACTTTTTTTTTATCAATATTATAATATTGGATTGAGTGGAGAAAAAGCTGACACCGCCGTCGCGCCGATATATTGGCTTCCGATCCTCCAAAAGTTAAAAAATATGATGGTTTGAAGTTTCGACTTATGCTACATGAAGCACTTACGAAATTAAAATTGCAACATTCTAACCTCTGATTTATTCAATTTATTAAATGTTCAAAATGTCCACCATGGACTTGAAAACATTTATTTTTCCGAAGTAAGAAATTATTCCTAAGATTTGACAATATTTCGAGAGTTACTAAAGCGCAAGCATCGCGTATCCTTTCGTCGTCAGCGGTTCAGCTCCTTCAGAAGAAACACAAATAAACATTGTCATACTGTACAGTCACTACGTTCAGTTCTATTTATGAAAATTTTTTCAGTTACTACTCTTCAAGCAGTAATATCGTGAAAATCACAACAATGTTTGATACGGAAGTGAATATGTATGTTAGTATTGGGTGTGGGAAAAAGTTCGTGACATTTTTTTAGTAAAATTCATGTTTTTCTTAGAGTATTAAAATCAATTTATTCAAACCAAATATGTTCCATTATATTCGATAATATTTTGCCATTTTTGGGGCAGAGTTATAATCCCATCGCGATAGAACTTCTATGGTTTCTGATCGAAAAACTGCTTCAAGTGATTTTCACAAGCCTCTTTTGAAGCCAGCTTTACACTATTAAGTATTTTGAACATTTAACAAATTGAATAAATCAAAGATTAGAATGTTGCAATTTTAATTTCGTAAGTGCTTCATGTAGCATAAGTCGAAACTTCAAACCATCATATTTTTTAACCTTTGGAGGATCGGAAGCCAATATATCGGCGTGACGGCGGTGTCAGCTTTTTCTCCACTTAATCCAATGACATTGATAAAAAAAGTTCTAGAGAGAGACCTAAACAAATAATAGTCTGAGGGTGCTATGCAGGACTATACGGTGGATGCATCAAAACTTTCCAGCCAAGCTCTCGCAATTTTTGCCGAGTCATCAAAGATGTGTGTGGTCGAACGTTGTCGTGATCGAAGACAACACATACAGCACAAAACGTTGAAAAAACGTAGATGAGACATTACAACGTTGAAGATAGAAGTGCGGATGTTTTTCCTACATAGAATATATGTTGATTTTTCTACATTGATTACAAGATATTGCTGCAATGTTGAATATATATTGGACAAAAAATACAATTTTTTGCAACAATATTTGAAGAGCATTGAAAATTATATTATTGATAATATTAAGGAAAAATTTGTTATTATATAATAATATTAATAAAATAAGTTATTATAGTTAAATTTATTAGTTAAAGTTATTAGCTATTATATAGTTAAATTTTATTATATTATATATATATATATATATTATACATATTATATTACAATATACCATAATCATATATATTTTTCTTATTATTTATATGTAAAATTGAAATGTGTTTAAGCAATTTTGTGCAAACCCTGAATATTCTTTTATTTCATAATATTCTCTATTATATAGAGTCTGACGTAAGCTATATCGCAAGCTGTATAACAAAAAATGTATAAAAAACATTAAACTGGAAGGAATGGTCCGTCATTTTGCAAATAACTAAATAAACTTTAGAGATATTAAATAAAATAGATAGGCGAATCAACGCATGTATTTGCTAGGTACATTATAATATACTATGAACACTGTAAGTATACATTTTATAAGCAAAAATTGTAAGAACATCGTTGGAGTCATTGGAACACCGTGTGCCGCTTGATCGTCAGGTTAAAGCAACGCAGTCAGGATTGATGGTAGCTGGCATTTTTACTGCTTCGGATTCGAAATTATCGAGCGGAGGATTCGTAAAAGTTTTAGAGTGTGTTTGACAATCTTCGGTTTCTAGCAGTTATAAGACATGAGAAAATTAGGAATGTTTTTTTTATGAAACAATAAAAATAAGTAAGACGTTTAAATATCAAGGAAAAATCAACAATCGCAGACATTTTTACATTATATCAAGGTTTGTGCAACGTTGATTCAATGTTTCTCAATGTTGTTGCAATATTGACATTGTTGCAATTCAACATTTTTTCAACATTGATTCAACATTACTGTGCTGTATGAGCACCCCTCCTATTGATCAATTCTGGCCGCTTCCTCTCAATTGCTTGTTGTAATCTCTCCAGTTGTTCACAGCAGAGTTCGGAATTAATTGTTTGACCGGGCGGTAACAGCTCATAGTGAACGATTCCCTTCCAATCCCACCACACATACATCACCTTCTTCGTCGTCAATCCAGGTTTTGCGATTGCTTACGCCTTCTCTCCTTCCTTTGTCCACGATCTTTTTCGAGTTCGATTTGAGACGTACGTGACCCATTTTTCATCACTAGTTATCATTCTCTTTAGAAATGGCTCAATTTCATTCTGTTTCAGTAGAGTATCGCAAATGTTAATTCCATCATGTTCATGATACTCGTGAGGAACCCAAATATCGAGCTTCTTTATTTAGCTTTGTGTAAATGATTCAAAACTGTTTTGTAATCGATGCCTTGTTCCCTGGCAATCTCCACACTGCTCACATGTTTATCACACTCAACTTTTTCCATGATTTCATCGGACTTTTCGGTGATTCCCTTATAGAAATATCATACTAAGAATCATTGATAATTACTTATTATCCAGTATTTTTAATATTGAAAATAAGTAATTATCAATAATTCTTAGTATGATATTTCTATAAGGGTTGGTCGATCGGAGCAAGGTTGATCTTTGATATCGAAATTTCCAGTACGAAAGCGAGCAAACCATTTTGATAGAGTATTTTCACCGTAAACAGCACAAATTTTTTCACAAGCCTGTACAGCGTTCTTGCCTTTATCGTAGTGATACTGCAAAATGTAGCGAATTTTTTCCTTATTTATCTCCATTTTCAAAATAAAATAACTTTTGATTCATTTCAATCCGATTTCAATTTTTTTCGGCTCAAAACAAAGGTTGGAATGTCACGCGTGTCTAGTGTTGTCGATGCGATTAATAGTTACCGAATGCTGAGCATATAACGCCATCTAGTGCCAAACGCCACGAACTTTTCCCCACACTCAATAGGTTTGTTCTTTCGACCTGAACTGGCTGCACTAGTTCACGAAGTTTGCACTAATGCGTTCTTTCGATCAGAACAGTGCAAGAAAATGTGTTCTTTCGAACAGTGCAGGCTGAACTAGTGCAGCGAGTTCAGTGAACTGACTGCCCTAGGTCTGGAGGTAGAGCAAGCAGTGCAGGGCAGCTAACCGAAAA